GGGTAGGACTAAGTCCCGTGTACTGCGGCCACTTCTGGTCTATTGTACCAGTCATTATACTTGTAGCATAGAGCACGCTGAGCCTAATTACGTTAATTCTATCTATCTATCTATCTATCTATCTATCTATCTATCTATCTATCTATCTATCTATCTATCTATTTATCTATCTATCTGCCTGTTTATCTATCTGTCTATTTATCTACGGCTATACAGTCTATTTTGGATCTTGACCGCTTTTTCAGTTTCTTAATCCTATACACAGTCGGTGTGACTCCTTGGACGGGGGATCAACCCATCGGAAGGCCGCTGCCTACGCATACAACAACACAAACACAGAAGAAACGCACAGAGACATCCATGCCTTGAGTGGGATTCAAACACACGAGCGAGCGAAGACGGTTCATGTCTTAGACTGTGATCGGCATGTTATTTCTGACTACTGAGGTAACTGTAAGCCGGTCACGGTAGCCGAGCGGTCTAAGGCATGTACTGTCTTCGCTCGCTTGGAAACCGGGATCGTGGGTTCGAATCCCACTCAGGGCATGGATGTTTGTGAGCGTTTTTCTGTGTTTGTGTACAGGTAGAGGCCTTGCCCAAGGAGTCCTACCGAATGTGTAAGTTCTAGAAAAACAGAAGTGAACGGAGAAGTTCATGGAGGTAGGCCTAGGCCCACTGGGGCTGTAGTGCCAAGGGGAAAAGAAAAAGAGGTAACTGTAAAGTTGTCCCTGTAATTAATTAATTAATTAAGCACTACACCGTAAACACGTATCATGGGGTGGAAATATAGCTTAATTATTCCTGGGGTGGAAGTGAGTTGTCAGCTTCAGGCTCCTGCTGCTTTATCCCCAAATAAACAACCCCCTCTACCAATTCTGGCAGAGGCTCTAGTTCAGACTGCTACAGGTAGTGAAGAGCTGGACCTTCATGATTTTCATTACCTTGAAATAAATGTGAAGGTCACTGCCGAATTACTGTGAACATTGAGATATATTAAGATAGCTTAAACGTAACAAACATTTTGCCAAGGACATAGACTCCAATCCCCCATCACCTTGGGGGAGACTATAAAAAGAATGTATTGTGCAACAGAAAAAGAAGAAACCTGCCCTTCCTGCTTTCAAAAGCGAGGTCGGAGGGCGGACGGAACAGCCACTTTTATTGGTTTCTGTTATTACTGACAGACATCCTCGTTTTTGTAATGACGAGTGGATGAATATGTTCAAAATAGGGTACAAAACCAAGTGACAGCTTATACGAGTATATGCCTTCTAACCGAACACAATAGATTTAGGGTAACCAACTACAACATCGTGTAGGAATTTAGGTTCCCACAGCGGTGGTTATGTAGAGTTATATCTTCTGGGATACAACGCCGTCTAAAGGCAACCGATGTTTAGGAGTTACACGTCACCTCCATCTTCAGGATCGAAGAATAATTCAAGCAAGAAACCAACAGTTGCCACTTGCTTCCACACTGGCTTATTGCTACGTATATTCTTTGACCCTGAAGATGGAGGGAATATTTTCCTTCGCAATATCAATTGACTTTCAACGGACTACATGGCGTTATATTACAGAAGATAGAATTCTTCAACTAGCAGACCAGTTCCGACAGTTCGGGGCCTAACTGTTTTAGAAAGAATAATTCCGAAATGTAGTGAAGATCATGCAAAAGTAAGAAATAGATATGAAGTTAATTCTGAACAAAGAAGCATAAAGTGTGTAATAATAGGAGAACATTAATGACCGAAGTAACTCATTGGGCTTCGAGATGAAAAGTTATAGTAAAAGATAAAGTTGTCCCTATGCTTAACTAAGAAAGCACTAGGCCATGAAGGCGTATGGCTGAATGAATGTGTAGATCCACATTTTCTTCACCTCGGCACCAGGTGGAGGTGAGTGGTCAGTTTTACGCCCCGGTTGCTTTACCCCAGGGTAAGAGTCCCCGGTACCCATTGGATAGGAGGCCGGCTGGGCCCCAGAGTCTGTCTGGCCGACGTGGAGAAGAGAAAATTCTTGTCCCCACCGGGACTCTAACTCCGATCCCTCGGACTTCCAACCCGTAGCCAGTCGCTATACAGACTGCGCTACACTAAAAGTGTAGGAGAAACACAAAAACATTCCCTTTAAAATATATATCAAGAGGGAGATCCAAGTTTCTTACGTAAGTGTGTGTGGAAATTATAAACCGATATTAAAATCTCTAATAAAGTAAAAGTAAAGCTATCCCCGTACCAGGCCGTGAAAGCCCATAGGGTTGTGAGACGTTAAGGGTCCCACATTATCTAGACAATCGGCTGAAAGATGGCGGTAAGTTTGTCAGCCTTACGCGCCGGCCGCCCTTTACTCCCCAGGAAAAGTATTTAATTAATTCCTGGTACTAATTTCTGTTTGAGGCTGAGTAAACCCTAGGGCCTAGTGCAGCTGGAAGGATTAGGTCAACTTAAAAAATCCAATGACCTCATCGGGACTTGAACCCGCGACCTTCCGGCTTGTAGCATAGCTCCTCAACCACTACGCTACAGCGTGCCCCCTTTAAAATACCTAATATTCAAGTTATTTTACTTTCATTCCAATTACTTTTTTCGATTTGTAAATATCAGCATCAGGTGGTTGACGAATATAAATAAATTTTTTTTTTCCTTGGCACTATAGCCCCAGTGGGCCTAGGCCTACCTCCATGAACTTCTCCGTTCACGTCGGTTTTTCTACATCTAACACNCATGCCTTAGACCGCTCGGCTACCGTGACCGGCATATATATATATATATATTTATTGAATTGGCAAAATGGATCGAATGAAAATGAAACAAGTGGAATATTAAACAGTTTATTATCCCAGTTTGCAATCCGCTGTTTCCCGATGGCCGGCAAGTACACCTCTCATCATGATATAGGTGTACAACAGGATAAAGGAAATAAAGATGGAAATTACAGTCTTCTGGGATGTGATGCTAAGTAATTCAGTAGAAAGTTACAAACGCATCTGGGAAACACGCTTCCTCCGTTATCAGGGTAGAAGATAGAAACATCATGTTTCTCCGAAAAGTTGGTAAGTTTCTACCAGACTGCACGGCATAGCATTCCAGAAGCCAATAATATTAATTTACAAAGAAGGTGAAGGAAATGGAACCTGATGCAGGTAACTCCTTGCCACACTGAACAAACATTAGTTTCTCAATAAGCAACCTGCTCTCTGTGGGTATCTCAAGTTATCTGACAGAATCGGCACTCCACACCTCCGTAGAATACAACCGCAAATGCGATTCTGTTTCTGAGCACCGCCCCTTGAAGGTTTACAGGAATATGCATTCGATGTAGGTTAAGCAGTGGACAACGTGCTACACAAGCTCTATTCCCAGTGAGAGAACTTCTTTGTTTGAGGTAGGAAATCGAAGTGCCCCGAATTCGTGAAGGATGAGGCAGTGAAACATTGGAAAGAACGGCCTTTTCCAACCAGGTTCTCAGTCATTGCCCCTAATTTTCTGGCCTCAATATTCGCTTATTTCAGGTAGACCTACAGAAGTACCAGTGAAGAGAAAATCTCCCTACAGACGCCAGGCGTGGCAGTTATAATCCTGTTTCGTGTTTCGTAACATTTTTATTACGTTGAAGAATANACCGCTCGAACACTTGGATCGTGGTTTCGAGTCACACTCGAGGCATGGATGTCTGTCTGTGTTTATTCTGTGTGTAGATAGAGGCCTTGCGACGGGTTGATCCCACATCCAAGGAGTCCTTCTGACTGTATCTAGGATCAAGAAACTGAAAAAGCGGTCGAGGTCCAACAAAGGACTGCAGAGCCACAATAATAAAAATAACCCTTTATGAAACTATTTATGAAAAAGTGAATGAAGTTCCATTTCAATTTTATGTAAAATAGGGGTGACACTGGCCCGGTATCAATTAAAATTAACTTCGGCGAACTTTTAGTGCAGTAGAAATAAATCTCAGTTTTAACTGAAATAAACATAGTACTTTCGGAAGCAAACTTCTCAAATATTTTGACAGACACATCCTCCGCGCATTAATTGCATAGGCTTTGTTGAAGAATGCATAATATTCTTGAAGTTTTCTGTTTGTATTTGAGACCTGGCCATTCAACCCGAATCACATGAACCTGATTTCGCTTCCATTGCATTAGTGTTTTTTCATTCATTCCTCAATGACACTAAGCCCTTTGTTGGGCCCTGGCCTCTTCTGAAGTTTCGTAATCATTTTTATACAGACGGTAGGACTCCTTGGGCGAGTGATCAGCCCGTCGCAAGTCCGCTACCTACACACTGGACAACACATACGCAGAAAAAATGCACACACAAACATCCATGCCTCGAGTGGGATTCGAACCCACAATCCAGGCTTTCGAGCGAGCGAAGACAGTTCATGCCTTAACCCTCGCGGGTACTGTTAGTCATTAGTGTTTATAAAATTATTTATATTTTCAAGTATACCTCTTTGGTAGTTCCAACCATAATTTTCAAAGGACCTACATTGTCAGTGACAATGATTCTATCGACGAATTTTATTTAGTGAAACGCTCAGAGATTTTATTTATCTACGTATATTGAAAAACAGCTGATTTACTGACTGTTGAACGGTTGTTAGTTTAACCAAGCTTTCTCAGCTGCAGAGTGGGGCGCTGTTTGTATATGCCCAGTCACTGATGTATAAGAGAGAGATGGAGAATACGATATATGTTACGCGTGCTTGCTCTACATGAACTGAGGAAAACACTACAAATCTTAGTCAGGTAGTCAGATTTTGGACCAAAAGTCGAAAAAGAGGCTTCCGGAATATGAAACACGAGTGTGTTCTTCCGCTTTTTGTTTCACGTAACGTCCCTATAATTTTCGTTTAATTTGTTATTCATGCTGTAACTTGGAACTTCTGGTTTGAGTAGTCACTAAGATTTAACTTCCTTTGCTGTAGCACGAGACGAATATTTGAATGGAAATCACTTTATGCCGTCCCAAACCGATTGTGTTCCGTGTTTATGTTCAAGTAGCGTAAACCTGATGTACGTAGTTGACTTATAACCCAGTTTAAGAAACTTGGCAAGAGCTGGCCTTCATTTGACTAATTGCGTCCCAGACTGTCGTTCGTACTGAAGGTTCTGTTGGTTTCTTGTCTGCACAGTTGCTTAAGCAGAGGCTCCTTCATTCGGCCAAGATTATTTTATTCCGACAACAAGGTAAGATTTAGGACTATTTATTTTAAATAGTATGGATTTCTTAATTCGCATATATGGTCTCAAACCAGGCATAAATAAATAAATAAATAAATAATGTGTTCCTTGCACAAAGAGTATAACATCGTAGAATGGTAATTCATACGCGTTCTCCGGTCTATATGTTTCATATCCAAAAAATCAGAACGGATTTAAATAAATTTTAGTGGAACTAGCGGTAAGAATTTTATTTTCACGAAACTCAAATTGAACTTTTTTATCTTGCTAAATCACGGCTCATCCTATAGGAAATTGTCATATAACTTAAAATTCTGGTGCTATTAACACGTTAACCTAAATTTGAATTTAAATATATATGTCGTTGTATTTATATTTAACAAAATATATATGAAAATTAATTTTTTATTCTATGTAGTGATATCTGCAGTCTGATTAGCTTTCTGGCCACGAATCTGTACCTGCTGTACACGAATATAAAAGACAATGAGACTGGAATAGTAATTAACTAAATAACTAGTTCTGTGGAGTAGAGTCATTCTGGAGAATTAGTCATTCAGTCACGAAATTCCCCACTCTTTATGGAATCCGGAACTGTTTTAATGTTTAACAAGGCATCAATGTGTTAGTCTCAGTTATGAACCAAATCATTTCAGCCCACAATCTCGTATATTTCTGTAACATACATTTTAATATTATAATCTCATCTACGATTAAGTATTCCGAGTGGCTTCTTCCTTTCAGGTTTTCCGGCGAAAATTGTGTGAGCATTCTTTGTCTCTCCCATGCGTTCTCTATCTCCCGCCCATCTCATTTTTTTTTGTTTGATCATCCTAATAACATTTGGTGAATGGTGTAAGTCACGAAATCACCATCATTATATTCTCTCTCACCTCCGGTTAGTTCTTCCCTGTATCTAAATATTCTCCCAGCACTCTTCTCAGGCACCCATAATCTACTTTTTTTCCCTAACGCGAGAGACCAAATTTCGTACTCACACAAAAGCGCAAATAAAACTATAATTCTGTGTATTTTATTATCCATAGTTCTTTATAGCAGACGCGAAAACAGAAAACTCTAAACTGAATAGTAGAAAGGATTCCCAGAATTTAATCTTAACTTCATCGTGAATGAAATTTTGATCTGTTACTGTCGTTCCCAGATACCTGAACATTGATATGTTTTGAGAGGATCTCTAAGCTCCCTGAATGTTACAGTTTTGTTCTCATTTGTGTGACGAAATATGAAAACGCTTCTCCCAATGTTGGCTTCTAGACCAGCCTCCTTACTAGCGTCTAATAGTGCGTCTATGTTCTCTTTTTGATATTTATATTTTCACCGAGTGAAACAGACAACATTATCTCCATTATACCAATCACAGCTTTTTATGCTAATTGTGTGGGACTAAGTCCCTTGTACTGCGGCCACTTCTGGCCTATTGTACCAGCCCCAGATGATAGGTGAGGGTGATTGTGGAGCAATTGATGGAATGAAGATTGGCAGGGAAACAAAAGTACTCGGAGAAAACCTGCCCAAGCACCACTTTGTCTACCACAAATCCCACTTGACCAGACCCGGGATCGAACCCGGACCGCCGCGGTGGGAAGCCTGCGACTAACCGCTTGAGCTATGGCGCGGCCCAACCAATCACAGTTACTTCATCGTCTATGATGTACTCGTGTACTGTCCTCTGCTGCTCGAACACTGGAACTGTAGGTTCCAATCTCACTCAGGGTATGGTTGTAGATCTGCGTCTCTCATGCTTTTGTGTTGTCCTGTACAGGTCGAAGTCTTGCGACAGGCAGATCCCGCGTACGAGGAACCATAGTAAAAGTCTCTAAATAAAATTAAGAACAAAAGATACACAATGCCTTGTACCGCATATTTGTTTCATGCCCGACAATAAGAAAGTAAGAAGAAATTATCACCAATAATATAGACATGAAGCTGATGATTTCTATTCAATTCCATAATCTCCTGGCTTTCTTCGACCTTCCTAATGGAATATTCTACACGAAGTGTTAAAAACCATGATGCTGACGTATCGCCTTCTTCCAAACCCTTCTGTGCAGGAAAGGAGTAAAACTGAACCTTGCTCATATGGTCATAACTAGAGAGTTCGTCTGTTATCTCAGTCAGCATGACCAGTTTCACGGGTATGTTGATTCCAGTGAGAATGTTTTAGCTACGTCTCTGCTAACTGAAATATGAGCTTCCTTGAAGTCTATGAATAGTAAATATGCTGTTATATTACTTTCCCGGTTTTTTTTGACGAATTCAGAATATATTAAACGTACTTAATCCATAAGTTTAAAAACCACATTCATTCATTAATTCTTCAATTGTTCTACAGCCCTGTGTTGGGCCCTGGCCTCTTTTTCAATTTTCTAATCCTATACACAGTCAGTAAGAATCCTTGGATGGAGGATCAGTCCGTCTTGAGGCTTCTACCTAAAAAGATTATAGCAGTATAACACAAACAGACTAAAAGCACACAGACATCCATACTTCCAGTGGGATTGGAACCTACAACCCCAGCGTTCGAGCGGGCGAAAACAGTTCATTCCTTAAAGAAAGCAGTCTTCTGGGATTTAGCACCGTGTATATGTGGTGTTAACCGACGTTTCGGAGGAACGTATCGCACCCATCNCTCTTGAGAGAATAAGTATGTTTGGAATGCTATATGTGATATTCCTCGATAATTATTGCATTAAGTTTCATTGATCATTTTACAATAGCAGAGAACTTATTTGGATAGCGCACACAAAATTGGAACGGAGCTTCTGTCTTTTGTTTATGAAAGGATAACTTGGGTTTGGGAGGGTGAGAATTGAGAGAATGAGACAAATTAGCTGCTCAAGTTAAACACAAATACTGTAGTATACTGCTATAACTCAGATTAAATAAAATGCATTCCTTGCCTATCTACCTAACATTTCATTTCGCCATGACGGAAGTTAACGTCCATTGTGGAAGTCATGTATGAAGCTGTTTTCTTAGCGTTTCTAATGTGGGTTCAGTTATTGACACTGCGATTGTGCAAGTCATGTCTTGGAATGATCTACGTTTTCGTAAAACCGTTATCAACGTATTTTTACTCTGACTTTTCAAATTACATGAGACCTTTCCATAGAACAGGTTCCTGGGGAGAATATTTAGATCGAAGAGAGATGAAGTGACAGGAGGTTGGACAAAACTACGTAATGAGCAGCTTCATAACTTGTACTCTTCGTCCAGTATAATTATAACGATGATGTCAAGGAGGATGAGAAGGGCAGGGCATATAGCATGAATGGAGCTAAGAGGAATGCATATATAATATTGGTAGGAAAACCAGAAAAGACCACTAGGGAGACTACGACATAAGTGGGTGGATAATATTAAAATGAATCTTAGAGAGATAGAATGAGGTGGTATGGACTGGATCGATCTGCCTCAGGATAGGGACCAGTGGAGGNCAAAACTACGTAATGAGCAGCTTCATAACTTGTACTCTTCGTCCAGTATAATTATAACGATGATGTCAAGGAGGATGAGAAGGGCAGGGCATATAGCATGAATGGAGCTAAGAGGAATGCATATATAATATTGGTAGGAAAACCAGAAAAGACCACTAGGGAGACTACGACATAAGTGGGTGGATAATATTAAAATGAATCTTAGAGAGATAGAATGAGGTGGTATGGACTGGATCGATCTGCCTCAGGATAGGGACCAGTGGAGGGCTCTTCTGAACAAGGTAATGAACCTTCTGGTTCCATAAAATTCTGGGAAGTCCTTGAGTAGCTGCATAATTGACAGCTTCTCAAGAAAGCATGAGTGATTGGCGAGGCCTTTTCTTCTGTCAATGTTTGACTTTTCAGTTTTACGAAAAGTCGCCTGCTAATTGTACTAACAAAGTAACATCGAACACGATTATTGTATACTTAAAAAGCGCGTTCGGCAGAAGGAATTGTAATTGACATGCTAACATCCATGTTCTTCAAATTACTTGTAAGGAAGTACATGTAAATGAAGCTGTAAGAAACATGTGCTTATACACAAGTTGAGGAATGTAGGAAAAACAGAGCATGAAGGGACACGAGTGCTCATGAAGCAGCTCGGGATGATGAGTACAGAAAATCGGGAAGTAAAACAGACGCGAGTGCTCATGAAACAGCTCGGGATGGTGAGTAGAGAAAAACGGGAAGTAAAACAGACGCGAGTGCTCATGAAACAGCTCGGGATGGTGAGTAGAGAAAAATGAGAAGTAAAACAGACGCGAGTGCTCATGAAACAGCTCGGGATGGTGAGTAGAGAAAAATGAGAAGTAAAACAGACGCGAGTGCTCATGAAACAGCTCGGGATGGTGAGTAGAGAAAAATGAGAAGTAAAACAGACGCGAGTGCTCATGAAACAGCTCGTGATGGTGAGTAGAAAAACGGGAAGTAAAACAGACGCGAGTAGAGAAAAATGAGAAGTAAAACAGACGCGAGTGCTCATGAAACAGCTCGGGATGGTGAGTAGAGAAAAACGGGAAGTAAAATAGACATGAGTGCTCCTGAAGAAGTACGACAAGATATGGAATGTAAGAAAACGCGCCATGAAAATGACACGAGTGCTTATAACACAGTGCGCGAAGATGAGTATAGAAATGCGGGGCATGAAAGGGACACGAATATATATAGAATAACAGGGGAAACCTAAGTAGGGAATAGGTTTCTTCTACAACTTAAGACCTTCCATGTAGCGTAACTCCAGTTATAAATTAATTTTTCATCTTATTTGTCCAACTTGCCTTTATTACATATAAAGAATAGTGTAATCATTTACATTCATATTGTATTTAGAATACGCGTTGCAATGTTCGAAAGGTCATCTTCAATGTATTTTAGTTGTGAGAACTGTTGTTGTGGTTATTATATCGTATCTTACGCTTTTATGGAATTTTATTCCGTTGTATTCAACCTTAACAGTACACACATGTATGATGTAGAATCTGACAGTATCCAGTGCTGTATATCTTA